ACTGAAGTGTATTTGGGGTATACAAAAGTTTATATCTCCATGGTTTATTTTATATTTGTGTACGAAATATGGGTTGCCTGCGCATATTAGCGAGTTTTTAACCGGATTTATGACAATTGATAGGTTATATCCCGAAAACGTCAGCGCAGTAAAAGCTGCGCGTCTTTTTCCCGTCCAGGGAGTGTCATGGGCCTGCCGTAACAGGAGTGCGTTTAGAAACCTCGTACGGTGCGTCTGACCACATACATTAGAATAGGGATCAGACGCGCCGTGCGTGGTTTCTAAACGCACTCCAGTGTACGATACGATAGTTAGAGGCGCGTTACAGCAGAGGGCAGCACTTAAGGAGGCGTTTTAGCCACTAACTTTGGCGAATTTTAAAAAATCATTAACAAGGCATTAAGAACTCAAATTTCGGGATTATATTAAGAATAGTGCTGTTGAGGAATGAATTATTTTCATTATATTTCAAAATTTAAAGCTCTTTGATTTTTTTTCTCGGAAACTAAGTAAAAGGATTTATTTTGCCAAAATTTTAATTTTTTGACAAAATTAATTTTTGAAATATCCTTGTCCGAAAATTATAAGGGGTGCTGTATTCACCTTAATGATAGATAATCTTTAATGGGCAATCTAAATTTTTAATTTTTAGTCATAATTCTCTGGTATATAAAAATGACACGATTACGTAGATACGTATTATACCTTTAATTTCATATTTTTCAAGGCCGTCGCACAATCGTTTCTATTTATATAGAATTAATTATTGTTGACACCGGTATATAGGCAACTAATGGTTTACTCATCATGATTGCGGTTCGGTTTTTAATATTCCAAACCACAAATGACGGGAAAATCCCATTTCCTTAACCTTCCTGCATTCGTTTCCGTTTTCTATTACATCTCTTCCAATTTTTTTCCGGTCACCTACACGTATTTTCCAAACGAAAATTATAATTTTTACATCGCGGCGTTATAAATTCTTTCAACGGAAAAATAACGACTCTGGAATAAATGTGCGAGAGTGTGGAATTAAACAATTATACATTTATCTAGATATAACCGGAAAATATTGTTATTGGCGTGTTCAGTAATTATAATATTAGTTTTAAGGTATAAAAGCCAATGAAAATAGCATTTAACACGTTAATAAGGGCGGGTTGTATAAAGAATGCTGTAAACTCAGTTTTGTTAACAGGAGTTTAATTTTTAAAGGGTCATATTCAAAGTACAAATGTCATTTTTAAAATTATTTTTAATATTGCTATTATTGGTAGTTGGGTACAGGGGAGGGTAAAACTCTTATATTTAAGAGTCCTACAAACATTTTGAGGGTGATTAAACCACTTTCCGCTTTTGGTTCCGATTTTACACCTTTTTCAAAAAACAGGTCACGTTTCGCCAGGTTACAAATCTTTCGCCGACACAAAATTTTTTTGCATTATCATCTTAGATCCAGAAAAAACGCGTTTAAGCTATATCCCGAAATTCGTTGAAAAACGTAAATATCCGCACACGTTGTCGAATCTCTATCCCAGATAACAATTATACATTCTTAGCATATTCTTAGTATATACTTTTTAAGAATACGCATATGCTGAGAATGTACTGTATTTGCATTTGGTACATTCTCATTATATGCTAAGCATATGCTACGTGACGTTGTTTATACGTGCTATGCAGATACTGAGAATATACTTCAAGTTTGTGTACAGTATGCAACAGGTATCTACTTTAATTTGATGTTAAATTATTTACTGAGCCGAATGAAAATAAATTAATTCCATTTAAGGAATAATTGTGACAGTATGTTCTAGGTATATGCTAAGTATTTAAATATAGCATATGCTAGGAATATACTAGACACCTTAATACAGGATGTTTAATTAATATTGAACATTAAAGAATAAGTGTATATAATGAGTCTTTATTTCAAAGAATTCATACTTATTTTTATTACAAATACTATCTTTGGCCTTAATCAATCAATATTTTATTGTATCAATGGCTTGAGTTTCATTTGCTTGATTCCATTGGATCTTCATTGAACCTAAAAAATAAAAAAAATTAACAAACTTGGTACATATACAAATTAAGTGTACATAGCTAATGGGATATTTTAAATAGTTTTGTCCAACATAAAACATTAAAAATTGTACATGGCATTCCACTAACAAAAACAAGAGTTACATAAATGATTATGATGTTTACTGAAAGTTTAAATATATTTTTGTTAATTACTTACCACCATTTTGTAGTTTTCGTCTTCCTTTAGCTAGCTTTTCTAGTTCTTCCAGTTCAATATTTGGCCTTACAGGATTTTTACATAAAAACCCAGACAACACACCAAATCCCAGAGATATCCGCAGAATATCTTTTGTGGATATCCAATATATCCACAGGATATCAGAAATATTCCGTGGATCTAACATAGATATCCAAATGTCCGTCTATATCCAGGATATAGAAGATATCCTAATGGATATTCAGCAAAATATCTAATGGGTATCTTCCAGAAAATACAATAAATCACAGAGATATCCACAGAATATATTTTGTGGATATTCAATATATCCAATATGGATATACAACCAAATGTCCGTCTATATCCCAGGATATAGATGATATTCGGATATTCAGCAAAATATTTTATGGGTATCTTTAGTAGAGGTTCATAAGTAACCAATGATTATTGAATAACGTCGAAAGAAAATAGCAGAGATAAAAAATATTTTCAACACTCAAAATATTTTCAACACTCTGCCTTTGATTTTCAACACTCTGCCTTTGATTTTCCCAACTAAGGAGAAAGTCATCCTTATTAGGACTCTTCAGCAATAAATGAAAATTCTCGTCTCCAGTCTCTAATGGAGTGATTAGAACACACACATTTCGATCGAACTCAATTGGGTCGAGCATTAGTAGATGCGATAGTGGTATCGCCATCTATACTTAGTAAGCAGAATCAAATAACATTTAGTGTATATCCACGATGGTTTGCGTTCGCGCCTAGACTTTGATATATTTAGTGGATGTTCATGGGATATTGAATACACCTTAAAAAAATAATTTTAAATATCTGAACGGTACGCCACAATGGCGTAATTTTTTAATAATTTGCTATATAATTACTATTATTTATGGACATTTGCATGTCTATAAATTACATTTCATGGATATAAAATAGATATCTACCATGGACTGGACATTCAGTGGACATTGGGATGTTCAATAGATATCCAAAGGATTTGGTGTGCTGTCTTGGAAGTGTGTATGTAATTCTGGTAACACTGTATATTAGTTTCAATCCACCATTAGTAATATTAACTATATTAATAAATTCACACTGGCAATTAATATTTGGGATATCCTGTATTCTAACTTCTAACGTCACTTATAGGTCCTAAAAACTAAATATAGTAAAATTTGTTTATTTTCATATAGAACATACGATGTAATTAATTTTTATTAATTGACTTACCTCTTACAAACAAACGATGTCAAAAAAATTTGTAGGAATTGTAGGTTATGTTATTCTTCTTCTTTTCTTCTATTTTAGTTTGAGAATGTTTTTTGGCCTAAACATTCAACATTAGTGCGTTTGGTAACGAATTATTAGATCGGCATATGGGAAAAATTCATATAGATATGTATATAAACTTGTTTTTACATGTATTTGGTGTTAATTTTTACTTGCAAGCATTTAGAACATTCTCAGAACATGAGGTACATGCTGGGTATATGACTTTTAGTATCTTCTAAGAATGTCCTGTTATATAGCACGTGCTCAGTATATACTTTTTGGAATATACTTTTAAGGCACGTATTCAGTATATACTTTCTAGAATATACTTTCAAAGTATATTCTAGGTATGTTCTAAGAACATTCTAAAAGGATATACTAAAAAGAACTTAAACAGAACGTTCTTGGTATATTCATAGAACATTGATGTTATGTGGGATATACCGAAATAGCAAAATCAAAAGACTGGAGGCATTTTTTAATTGCTATTGACGTCTAGGAGCATGTTTCATTATCAGCTAAAAAGGAAAAAATCCGCCGATAAGAAACTTTACTTTGATTTTCACATATCACACGACCGCTCCCACCACCGGCACATAGTATATGTTGTTCACATCCCTACCCTATACCCAATTATAAATAGCTAGCAAAAAATACGACTCTACATTTCGAAAGAGAATAAAGGAGTCTCATTAAGTGACGATAAAATTATGTATATCAATAATCCCCCACCCCTATTGATCATGCCGTGTTTCTAAATTTATTAGTATTATGTAGTTATGCCTACATAAAATATTGAAATAGTAAAAGTGCTATTTTATTTTACATAGGTATTTTTATTATTACATTGAAGTTGAAGTGAATAATCTTTTAGTAGCTTAAAATTTTAACTTTTATGTTCAAAAACTATAAACTATTCTTTTCATCTGCAGAGTCTAAAATCTAACATAATATATAATAATATAATAATAATAATACTCTCCCTAATTCACCCCCTTACGAGTGAATTTCAACCCCTGAAGTCGACTGAACGACTTGTGTAGGGGAAGGGACGGCTATTATTATTATTTGCCGTGGCGCTCCGGGGCGACTTAAGGATGATTGATGGTGCCATTTGACTTACAGGTGAGGAAAACCCGGAAAACCTCACCCACCATCATCGAGACGATAATGTATGGCGATTTTATAATCTGCATGTCATATCAACAGAAATTGAATTTCCATTAATACGGCACACATCAAATCCTAAACCGAACCATGCAATTTAATTAAAAATCCACATGGTCTGGTCTGGGATTCGAAGCCCAGCAGTCTCGGACTCATAAACTCGCCTATAAATGAATATAAGCGCGATAGACCGCTACACCATCGACCCGATGGTGTAGCGGATATGACCTTGAGGCTTCAGCTATATAATATGTCGTACTGTACCAAGTTCTCAATAAATGTGATTTTATCAAAAAATTTCGTTACTCACCTTACTAAGTAGATCCATTTTTTCTTCTTTCCGTCTCTTGAGTAGATCTTTGGTCTGTATCAATTCTTCTGAACTCTTTTTTAGATCGAATTTGACTAATCTGAGATTCTTTTTCGAACCCATCAACTCTTCTTGTTGGCTTTTTATTTCCTACAAATAAGAAGAAACTTTTGAATGATGGTGTCATCTTTTTTGTCTGTTATTTTTTATTTTTAATATTAAGTGCAGAGCGAAAATAAAAATTCGAGATGCTCTTAAAAATTGAAAATTTTGATTTTCTCTTAAATCATCAGATCTTGACCAACTGTATAAGGAACTACCCCCGAGGGCTAACTTAAAAAGAATCATAGAAATCGGACAAGTTAGTAAAGAATTATGGCTGAACATACATTAAAAAAATATTAAGACAAATTGAGAACTTCCTCCTTTTCTGAAGTCGGGTAAAAAGAAAAAGCAATGGAACATATTTGTAAAGAACTAAGACGAGAATGAAAACTACGAATTATATAGGTACTGTCGTGCGAACCATTTTCGACTAGACCAGTGCTGATTTAATTTCCGAAGCCCATCTTTGCCTTATTTGGGCCTCTTACGACCTCCACTTATTCGATTACCAAGAATCTTCCATAAAATAAGTCAACCATCGAAACCCCCAAGATATGCCTATGGAAACCGCTCGTTGAAGTTGTAGAAAGTACTGGAGCCGCAGCGAAGCTTCTAGAGACATATATTTTACTGAATACGCTATTCTCTAAAACGTGGGATCCGTTGATGTATATTGTAAGCAGTGCCGCTAATTCTTTTAAAAAATACCTAGAACACTCTAGCATGACCACATTTGTATATAAATTGGACTGTTTTGTCATTTGGGTCAGTTTAAGTTTAGATATCGATGTGAGCAGATTAATATTTTCCATATAAATTAGCGAATAAGTGATATATAAATTAGTATAGCCTAAATATGTTATAAATAAAAGTTACATGTACTATACTTTATAAAAAATAATTTGAATTATGTATCAATATATTTTAATTACCTCGATTAGATTGTTATTGGCCAATTCTAAAATTTCCATTTTTTTCTTCAGTCTCTGACATTCATTAAGTGCCTCGTTTCGTTTGTCGCATTCCGAGTTTCTCATATTTTTCAAGAAATCCACTTGCAGTTCCAACTGACTAATCTATTGATAAAACAAAAATAAATTAAATGACATGAATAACAACAAGAATGTTTATTTTTGAAATGAAAAATAATAAATTTCGGTCCTCGAAATCCATCATAATCAGGCACCAGGCACAAAATGACAAAGGATGAGACTTGCACGAATGGACGAAGCATCTTTAAATGTAAATCTCTGAAAAAACCAAGATCAATATAATAAATATTTAATAGAGTTGGGTTATTTATATTAACAAATATTTAATTTTTTAATGATTTAAGGAAATAGAACCTCACTTATTTTAAATTTACGTTTCAAAATATGATTGAAAAATCATTACATCGTCATTCTTCTTTTTCTCTTAGTTCACTTCTACCGATAAGGATTTACTATTAAATTTTTGCACATGCTGCCACTATATTTTTTCTACAACCACATCTGTAATTAAAGTCTCTTTGTCTCATATTTTGCTTTATTTGGATTTATCTCAAAACTGTATATATTTGCTTCATATACTATTTTTATTGTGGTTTTCTTTAGCTCTATTTTAGTTCTTGCTTTGATTGTTAAGTCGTCCGCAAATGTCAAATGCATTGTTGTTTGTAATTTATAGTGCCATTTATTTATTTTATATGTTTATTTAGATTTATTATATCTATTATTCCCTTATAGAGGTATTTGTTTTTATTTTACTGTTTCTAATAATTAAAACTTTCAGCGTCAGATTGAAAAGTGTTATTGATAAGTAAAAACTGTATTTTGGAAATGTTTTTGATTACTATTATTATAAATTTCTAAGTAAATTTCAATGATAGAAAACAAACCGAAAATTATAGCCTTATTAACAAAATAAAAAACAGTCTGAAGTAAATCGTTTAAATGTAGACGTTTAATGTAATCATTAAATTTAAAAATACAGTTATATTTTAGATTTTTATACGATTAAAGCGGCGCGCTTAATAATGAAAAGTGTCACTATCGAGGCTTATTAACGACGTCTCGACGCGTCGGTTTTGAATTTCATCGGGCGTCGTTCTTGTGACTCAATACAAACCGATGAATAGGTAATAAGCCAAAGCAAAGGTGACGCCGGTTTACGGAAATAGCACATGTTGACAAACTTTAGTCGCATTTTAATAAAAAATATATGAAATCAAAAACATGTTTTAGCATAGGAGGAATTTCGGAAACTTGCCGACAATATATTATTATTAATAATAATAATAATGGGGGATTGAAACGCAAGGGTTTTTTGAATTCCCTACATATATTATCTTGCAAAATTACTCAGGCCCACACCCATGGGTTCAATATCAATGTTTTTAAAATCCAATTCATTTCATATGGAGCTTATTTTATGCACTATGATATGCTTGTCAATTATTGTGAAATCACGGCCAAACTATTTATGTCTGCAAGAATGTTTTTTTCACATAGTTCAGATGAAATCTACACGCTTAAACAGCCTTTGCAAAAAAAAAAATTGGTTATGGACATCACAGAAAACAGGGGTGATGATAGAAAAAGCCATTTGTCTGGGGCTAAGAAAAATTCTGTTAGACAATACATTGGTTCCCTGCATGCTTATGAGAGCCACTATTCTAGAAACAAATCTAAGAGAGTGTACCTTAGATGTGATCTGAATATCAAGAAACTTCATAAAGCATACAATTCCATGACTGAAAACTATCTGCGTGTATCTACAATGTTTCGACGTGTTTTCAACAAGGACTTTAATATTGGATTCAAGAGTCCAGCATCTGACTTGTGTAGTTACTGTGAAAAGATTAGAAAGCTCATAAAAAATGTTATTGGTGAAGCCAAAGTTAACTTGTTAATACAACTCAGAATTCATAAAAAAAGACCCACATAACATCAATGTTCTATGAATATATTAAGAACGTTCTGTTTATGTTCTTTTTAGTATGTCCTTTCTAGAATGTTCTAAGAATATACCTAGTATATACTTTGAAAAAATATTCTAGCAAGTATATACTGAGTACGTGCTTTGAAAGTATGTTCTAAAAAGTATATACTGAGTACGGGCCTTAAAAGTATATTTTAAAAAGTATATACTGAGCACGTGCTAGCACATCTTTAGAAGATACTAAAAGTCATGTACTCAGCATGTACCTCATATTCTGAGAATGTTCTAAATGCTTACAGGTAAAAATTAACACCAAATACATCGATGGCTTAAGTAGGTCAAAACCCACAAAATTTCAAAAAATCGCTTTTTGCGTCAATGGAGTCGTATGTTTTAGCTGCGTCTTGTGAAAAACTATCGTAAGCAACAGTATAAAATGAAATTAATTTTACGCACCAAAACAAAAAGTTGCTCTTCGAAAATACTTGGTTTTTTATTTCCCTGTAAAATTAACTTTTTGGAGTTACGACGTTTTGCACTTATCTGATAATTCGCTAGCAAACGCACAAATGTTGAGTGTTCAGGCCAAAAAACATTCACAACCTTAATAGAAGAGAAGAATAACAAACTACAAATTTTTTGAGGTAAATAATTAATAAAAATTAATTGCATCGTGTATTCTACATAAAAATAAACAAATTTTACTGTATTTGTAGTTTTTAGGACCTATAAGTGATGTTAGAACACAGGATAGATATCCCAAATATTAATTGCCAATGTGAATTTATTAATATGGTTAATACAAAAGTAAGTAATCTGTGATACTAATGGCGAATTAAAACTAAAATACAATGTTACCAGAATTACATACACACTTTCTATGAAAAGAATCCTGTAAGGCCAGAAAATGACCTTAAAGAGCTGGAAAATTAGCTAAAGGAGGACGAAAACTACAAAATGATAATAAGCAATTAGCAAAAATATATTTAAACTAAACATAATTTATGAAACTCATGTTTTTGTTAGTGAAATGCCATGTACAATTTTTAATGTTTTACGTTCGACAAAAATATTTAAAATATTCCATTAGTTATGTACACTTAATTTGTATATGTACCAAGTTTGTTGACTTTTTTAATATTTTAGGTTCAATAAAGATCCAATGGAAGCAAGCAAATGAAAGTCAAGCCATAAGCCATAAGCCATTGATATAATAAAATATTGGTTGGTCAGGGCCAAAGAAAGAATTTTTAATAAAAATAAGAATAAGTATGAATTTTTGGTAATAAAGATTTAAAAAATTATACTTTCATTATATACACTTATTCTTTAATGTTGAATATTAATGAATTATCCTGTATTAGGGTGTCTAGTATATGCCTAACATATGCTATATTTAAATACTTAGCTTATACTTAGAACGTACTATCAAATGAAAGTAGATACTTATTGTATACTGTACACATACTTGAAGTATATTCTCAGTATCTGCATAGCACGTATAAATAACGTCACGTAACATAAGCTTAGTATATTCTGAGAATGTACTAAATGCAAATAAAGTATATTCTTAGCATATGCGTATTCTTAAAAAGTATATACTAAGAATATGCTAAGAATGTATAATTGTTATCTGGGGAGCTCAAGCTTTTTATGAACTCATGAAGAAGACATTATCTACTGCTTTGACATGCAACAAGTGCAGCATTTACCCAAAACTCCTATTCAAGAAGCATTTTATGTTCGGCAACTTTCATTCTATAATCTATGTATTACAGATGTAAAAAAATGTTAACCCAATCTTCTACACTTGGACTGAAGAGCAAGCTAGGAGAGGGTCAACTGAAGTTTCTTCAGCTCTCCTGAACTTCTTGGAAACATGTGTTTTTAATGGAAAAAAGGTATTAAAACTCTTCTGTGATGGATGCGGAGGACAAAACAAAAACAATGTTGTTTTCCACACATTAATGTTCTTTCTTTCAATCCACCAAAGTCCTATCAAAGAGATCATCGTTACATTTCCTGTTCGAGCCCATAGTTTCCTTCCTGCCGACCGTGTTTTTGGAAGGTTAGAGGAACTTCTTTGGAAGAAAACTACTATGGTAACAAAAGAAGAGTATTATGAGCTATTTAAAGAAGTTGGGAACAGATTGGACACTGAAAGACACCAAAAGTATCTCTACACATCTAAAGAACATAATAATAATAATAATAATAATAATAATAATAATAATAATAATAATAATAATAATAATAATAATAATAATAATAATAATAATAATAATAATAATAATAATAATAATAATAATAATAATAATAATAATAATAATAATAATAATAATAATAATAATAATAATAATAATAATAATAATAATAATAATAATAATAATAAACCTTTATTAACACATAAAAAATAGAATTACATAAAAAATTTCAGACGCATAAATAATTTGTAGAATAAAGTATTTAGCGATAAGTACTACTGTACTTGTTTCGCTGTAATATAACGAATAAATATTAAAATATTATTTCCATAAAGAATATAAGCAATAAGAAAGGAATTTACTTAAAAAGAATCACAACAAAGTCTGGAAAAACTAATATTACAGTCAAAGCAAATGAAAATTTCAGATTCGAGCATGAATATGAAAAATACATTTCACTTCTGAAGAGGGATCGTCTGGGGATCTGATTCTTTTGTATTGGAAGACAAGCAGTTGGGTCACATGATTTCGGATGCAAAGAAAAAAGATATAAATGATTTACTGACAGCAGTATATAGCGAATGGAGAGAAATAGATAACCTAAACTTCTACAAAAACATTATTGATGATGAAAATTTGACTATTGTTAATAATAATGATGATGATGATGATGATGTTAATGAAAGATGTGACTGCTTAGAAGATGATTGATGTGGGGTATATACCTGACAAAAATTCAACACAGAAAAGTAATTTGATTTCAATTTTAAAATTAAAAAATATATGTTTTTTTACCTAAGTAATATTATTCTGTTCCAAATTTAAGTACCTATATGTAAAAAATAAAACTTGAACATTACTCAAATAAAACAAATTGTGTTTTTATTGTTTCCGATCAAAAACGAACTTGTCCTGGGACGTTCCATTCAAATGCGAACTTGTCCAAATTGTTCAGTCAAACGCGAACTTGTCCAAAATAAAAAATTAAGTTAAACAAAAAATACAATAAAATGTTTCCAATGGTTGTTAAAAATAATATCTATTCTATGACATCTAAATTAATGAAATAAAATAATTTTCACCTTTATTTCCTCTTAGATCAGAATCAATTATTTGTGTTACCTGCAAAATCCTTTTAAGGTGACTAATTCGCGTTTGAAAGTTAACTCTTCAGGGTGCGTATGCTTGAAAACGAGAGAAACTGAAACTCCCCGGGGAATATATTCACTTTATTTTCACTTTCCCAAAAAATTGGTATTCTTGAAATAACGTGAAAGCCAAGGGAGGAGAAAGTAGATGGTGAAAATAAATACAGAGTTGTCAGATCGTTTTAGATCATCCGACCAATTAGAAATTACGAGCTTTTGACAGCAAATGTCACTTCTGGCATTTTAAGAATTTAGGTTATTATGATTTCTTTTTATCGACAACGAAATTTTGACTTTTTCACGTATACACATTTTAAAATACTATTGTTGATTAAAAATAATATTAACTGTTTTAAATAATTATCAAACTAAAAATTCAAATATCTTGGCAATAATTCAAGTAATATTTTTCTAAATGTTTAGTTTAAGTTTTAAAACGTCTTTATTTACAGTTAAAAACTTTACGATTGTAGGAGGTAGGTACCTACCTATTACTTTCCTAAATAATTAATCATTTTAAAAACACGAGTCAAAGTACAAACAAATTTAAAAGATGTTATTACTATTGGAAAAGGGGAGTATTATACGGGGATAGTTTTACACTACTACCTTTTATAACTAAAGAAGTTGTTGCTCCATTTTATTAATTTGTCTAAAATGTATCTGTATTGAATAAAAATTATTCTTATTATTTTCGCGTCTAAATCCATTTTAAAGGGAAAGTAAATAGCGCAAATGTATAAATATACCTGAAAACTACTAACAACATCAATGAGGTTATAGTAATATTTTGATTTTTATTTATTTAATTTCTGACAAGCACTGCGCATGCTTGTGAATTGAATTCTCTCGTTATTTTCATTCTCTCTACCTAAAAGTAGGAGAAAGTTTTGAGAGAAAATTCTCCACCAATTTTGTTGAATTTGATTTCAAGAATACGAATTTTTAAAAAGGAGTAGAAAGTGAGAATTTTCTCTCAATATTTCTCACTCCCCGATTTCAAGAATAGGCACCCAGTTGTATCTATAGTTTTTTTTTTCGTGCGCCCTAATGACCAACCTGATTCTGTTGTCGCCCGTTGGACTCCGACATCGCCTGTAGACGAGCCTTGTATCGGCGCCAGACGCACAACATCAGACGCCCGTATACCTTACACGCCGCCCAGTCTCTGGTGCAGCAGCGTCGCGACGCCGACGACGTAGACGTCGCCAACGGCGCTTCCAGCGGCCTGGGGGTTGCGTGCAATGTCACGCTTAGAGAGGAAGTATCGTGCTCCGACGAGTCGCCGCTAAGGTTCAGTTTTTGCAGCTTCGGTATAGGTCTGAAACACAAACAAATTTATGAATATAACAATAAACATTTTAGTTATATTTACTATACAATAAATAGATGGAAGGATAGATAAAATTTATTTCCTGTTAGATATTTTTTTTTACAATCTATAGGACACGTCAAGTAAATAATTAGAATACAGAAAAAATGTACAGGTTTTGCTTTGTTCTATTATTAATATACGAACTAGGTATCATTGTAATATTTTGCAACGACTTGTCCTCGATATCTACAACTATTCGAAACATGTTCAATGAAGCGATACTATCTAGAGCAGCCATATTCAACTTGCGGCCTTCCGAGCTGTTTTGTGCGACCCTCCAAGCTTTTTTTGCGGTCCTCCAAGCTTTTTTGTGCAGCCCCACACACGATTATTAGTAATTGAAATGGTTGACGATCTACAATCCTGTCCTTGCGACTTTTCAAAACTTATTAAAACAATATGGGGACTTTTAGGTTCTTTGATAGTATGTAAACTAAAACAATATGAGGACCTTTAGAAAATATTTAAAGCGTATCCCTATAGTCGCCCATTGTTCTTTATTATTTGCATTTCAAAAAGCTTTCAACTCTTGTTATCGCCCAAAAATATTGTGGCCCGTATAGCATAAACAGATTTATGTGGCCCGAAAGAAAAAAGGTTGAATCTAGAGCGATGATATCCAAAGTGGTCTATATCACAGATATTTCTCTTATTTGATTTCTGTTATGTAATACTTTTCATTTTAATTTGATCTGTGTCCAAGCCGTTGGAGTTTATACCGGTCGGCGTAGCCAGGTATGGGTTGATATTTTCTGGTGGCGGCTTCGCCGCCACCCTTCGAGAAGGCGTTGTTTCGTACTTATAGCGTTGCGTTAACGGTATAGGGAATGGAGGGTTTTAGAAGCATCACCATTTCCTAGCCTGTTATCGCAATCGATTGCGTTCACGGTATAGGGAATGGAAATATGCCTACCGTTTAGATAATAGTTCACGCATTGGTTATTTTTTTCCTATATGCAGGACGACACATTTTTCCCTGTTTAAAGGAAGCAGCCAGATATCACACCAGTTTGAAATAGTTTCAAGGTCTTTTTGTAGCTGGGCAGAATCTGTCACAGGATTAGAGTATAGCTTAGTGTCATCAGCGTAACACGAGATATTAGAATTTAAGTCTTTGCCTAGATCTGCAGCGTATACCAAGAATAGTAATGGCCCTATGACAGAGCCTTGAGGGACACCACTTAGAACTGGGTACTCTGTCGAGAACATCTGTCCAACTTTTACCTTGAAGATGCGATTTGACAAAAAATCACTTATCCAGAATGCCAGCTTTTTCCAACTTATAAAACAATCTCTTTTTGGGAACACGGTCAAAGGCTTTAGCGAAATCAAGATATACGACATCGACAGGCTTTTTATTGTCCACAGACGTAGTCCAATCGTTTAAACAGGTCATTAAATTTGTTAATGTGGATCGGCCTTTGAAAAAACCGTGTTGTTCTTTTGGCAAGACGTCATACATGTCATTGGTTAAGATGGATTCCATTATTTTACAGGCAATTGGGACGAGGCTTATTGGACGATAGTTGGATGGACTGAATTTGTCACCCTTTTTAAAAATAGGTGTCACCGAAACAATTTTCCACATTGAAGGAAGTGTGTGAGATGTAAAGGAAGATGTCATGAAATATATATAAGTTGGTAGGTTATTCACTTTGTGGTCGCAATAAACATTTAAATAATCAATGAATAAATAGTAATATTAGGAACAAACGCGTTCATTTGTTTCCAGAACGTTGAAAAGGAAACTACTACTTAAAAAAAAACTATAAAGTTAGTAGATATAGAAGGGACTTTAAGTGAGCCAATGTAATTTTGGAGGAAAAATTCCAATTTCTCAAATGTGACCAATTTAAAATAAAATGAAAGGATAAGAGAAAAAATCTGAAAGATCGTGTCACAGCAAAATTAACTCTGTAGCGGTTCTTTCTCTCCTGAAAACAACTACTCCCTTGGCCAATACCGCAACAGGCGTTGCATTATATCAATAGGAAAAGAGCAGTGATAGAAAATAATTTTCAACACTAGATTTATTTTGCTTCCTTAGAAAGTCAAACTTGTGCCAGTTTCGTCCTTATTAGGACTCATTAGCAAGCATTAGACTATCTCGACTGTAATTGATAATAACAATGTAATTTTTTTGGGAATGCCAAAATTAAGTAAGTTTTTTTCTAGGTTAAGAAACTCTCTTGGTGTTGTGACGAAGTCACTAAATTTTATTTTTAATTAATTATAAAAATGTATATTTTAATTAATTTCCGCCTCGAAACGTTCCGTAGAACTTCCCGTTTTTAAACATTTGGGAGAGCCCGCGTAGTTTAAAATATATCCGTATTTACCGAAATTCGAATTTGGATTTAAACATTAAATTTCATGTAAATTATCTAGATATATTCAGCAGGTGTCAAGAGAGCGTTTTTTATTTCTCCGCTAGTAAACATTGGAACTGGAGGTGGTTTTTCCCACTCCGGAATTACTCGGAAACCGAACTCGTCTGATCGTGAGACATAAATACGAGAGTCAAAAGAAATTCCTTAAATTTTAAATGTATTTTTGCATCCGTATTAATACTTAATTCCGAGGTAGGTTTTTTATGTATTCCTGATTAAAACTTTTTTTATTTTTTCCCCGGTGGTCTGCAATTCAACTAGTACCTTTTAATAATACCTAAGTTTATTAAAATTTATCGTGAAATAATCTTGTCGAATTTTCAAAGTCGAACTGCTGGGGAGCTCCCAGGTAGACATCAATAAGGGAACTTCGTCAAGCCGTAATTCAACTGATGCTTATTCGTTCGTTCGTCGAAAGTCCCAGTGGAACAATTATTTGTGCCCAGCTCCGAAATCTAGAGGCACTGATTTGCGATTCGATGTGAAACCGATAAATTCAAACTCGGCGTCATCTTTCCTAAACTACGCCCAAAGACAGTTTTTCTATTTTTTTTTTTTTCAATTAACTAATTAAAAGCTAATTTTCTATTATTCAGGGAGTGACGTAAATGCCGCTTTATTTACTCCTGATATATCATTTCCTTTTATTTATTAACTGTCGTATTTAAATAATTATTTGATACAAAATTCATTTTCTATTATACTGGAAGGGCTGTAATTACCGTTTAATTCGTTATTTTCGATTTTAAAATTATTTTGACCAACCGTTAAATTTAAATTAATTTTATATTATACAGGGAGTGGCGTTAATGCCGTCTTAATTATTTGGTACACATTTTTTGCTTTTTATTGTTTAACTATTATATTTAAACCCTTTATTTGATAGGAAAGTTATTCTCTAATATACAGGGTGCGCTGTATAGCGACATACTTGCACTACATATCTTTATCATTTTTATTACGTCATACCTACGCATTAAATTGCTGTCATCATTTAGATAACCTTTCGTGGCAGTTCTAGCAAAGACAAAAGGTTGAACTCATCGCGAGGAAAACAAATAAATTGTAATTTGTTTTATGAAAAAAAAAGTTCTGCAAGGTTTAAAACTAAAAATACAGGTATTAGATATCAAATCTTCTAAGCCATATACGGTTTGTCAAGAAAAATTAATATTATGCAAGTACCTTTATTTATAAACAAAATTGAAAATTGTTTATTAGAATTGAAATCGTAGATGGATAATGTTGGATATATGATCGTAGCCTTCAATTCTGATCAACTTTTTCTATAATAATTTTCGATATTATTAAAAATAAAGGTAATGTACTCTTGAATAAAATTCATATTTTTTGACGAATCTCGTTCATGACTAAAAAAAATTGGTAGCCAATGCTTGAATTTTAGGTTTTTCACCATGTAGAACTTTTTATGAAAAATGACTTTTTTGCATAAAACAAATAATAAAAAAGTTCCCATATGGTGTCGACTTAAGTACACACTGTATATTTAATAAATAAATATTTTTATAAATACAATTAATACATAAAATTAGTATATCAACATTTTTTTAATGTTTTTCGATTTTTTATTGCCTAGATTATGCGTTTGTTCCACTGTGCGATGGGCGGGGAGTCCAAGATTGAATTTAACATGTTTTTATTATTTCATCAAGCTGAGCTGATGAGATACTAAAATCCAATGGAACCAAGAGGTGGATCGTGGAGCTCTTCAACGGTTACTAGCTAACCCCTTGAGTTTGGGCTCAAGATTCCTTTTAACGCAAGTCGAAGTGTGTATGACGTACGTCCGCAAAATCGAGTTTTTTTAGTTTTTTAAACATATATGATTATTACTGAGGACTAAATTGAACATTTCGCGTTTTAAATAAGATCGCGGACAAAAAAGTTCGCTATTTATAAAGGCGCTGGCCCCTTTTTCTCAAAAGTCGTTCCATTGGAGAAGTGCTACCTGCTTAAGAAGCACTAACCATTTTTTCATTAGATTTAAATTAAATTATTTAATTAAAATAATCATATTCGCCGGTACCTTTTACATTATTTTAAATATTTTAAATAGCTTAATTTTGTTCACAGGTAGCTGATATTAAACATGGCCGAATCTAAAAAGAAATGTAGAAAATAGTGTGGATTATTTGAAATTTGACTTCATTCCTTCCTTGTCGGACAAGCAATTGAAGCGTGTTTTGAAAAAACTCCATATGTTAGTTTTGCCAAAATTTTATATTATGACACTTATGGGTATATAACATAAGTTTATATGTCCCTTGTATGAAAATAATCCGTAAAATCAATGGTAGTCCAAGATATGGACGGTTAAAATATCGAATTCTTCATAAACCCCATATGCAATTTGACAACTAGAGTTTATGCAAAGAACGCATCAATTGTCTATGCGCCTTTTATGCAATAAAGTTTTAAGCAATGATGCTATGAAACCCTCTAAGCTGGAAGATTATTTCAGAAGATGTCACCCTGATAAAATAGGTAAAAATTTGAAAAAATATATGTATTAGGTACCTGAAAGCAAGAGGCGAA